GCATATGTTTTCCTTATAATTTAGTTACGAGGAATTTAAATACCACAAATCTTAACGGCCTAAGACTATATCTTTTCTGCTGAGTATGCGATTCAAAATTTGCTAAAAGAATGCGGATAATATTCAAAAGTAACGAGATAAACAAACAAAGAGAATAAACAAAATACACATATATTTAAAGTAACGATAATAATTCTCGGTTTTTTATTCGGTACTTAGGGTATCGGATAGTAACGAGTATAAAGGAACGAATAGTTACTTTTTCGACATCACTAAACTTCATTCTCACTCAAGCTTTCCTTCGAGTATAATGGAATAATTGTTTTTTATCTAATCCTTGTTGTTTTCGGTGATCAGTGAGAAGTTTACAATTTGACATGAGTGACGAATTTGTACATGAGTGATTCAAATAGTTCTAGTCGGAGTAATGAGAGTTGGAGTCATAGATCTAAAAGCCCTAAAAGCAAATTTGATGAGTTTTTAGAAATAAGTCATGCATCCCAAATTGCTTTGTGTAAATTGTGCCATCATAGAAAGGTTGAAATAAAAATGAAGAACAGAAACACTTCAGGTTTAAGGAAGTATCTAATATCTTTCCACAAAAAGGAATCACAAATATATGTTCCTGAAAAACCAAAATTAGGTGGAGATATCACAAGCTTTTTAATATCCTCTGGAAAAAGTTGACAGGTAAGAAAAAATATACTTATCACACAATTACATTTAAACTTTAAATTTCTAATAAACTTTAAACTTTTGTCAACGAAACTTGGTAGAGAAAAATATGTTACATTGCCACTAGTGATTGTATTATTCAATCTCTTGCTCGATAAAATTGAATCCATGGCAAAACAATTAGATGAGAAACCTAATCGATCTGAAGTGGATAAAAGGCTCATTCTTGGTTTTCAAGCATCTCGAGACAAAATGCTTAAACATTATAAGAAGAGCAACTGGATTTATTGTATCTCTTTAATTTTAGACCCAAGGCATAATGCTCAGATTTTTACCATGACGTTATGGGGGAAGCGAATTAAAACAGAAAGCCTGCGAAAATTTAATGAACTTTATAAAGAATATAAAACTCTACACTCAGTGAATAAATCTCTAGAATGACCAAGAAATGAAAAGAAAGTATCTGCATATGATAAAGATGAAGACTTAATAGACTTTGAGAAACTGTATGAATGCTCCTGGACTTCATCTGGATCTTGTCATCAAGGGTTAGTTACTGACGAGTTAGGGGAGTACCTAAGTAAACCCAGAGCCGCCAGCTCGGAAGACATTTTAGAATGGAGGACGCATGAGATAGAATATCTGACTTTATCGAAGGTGGCCCGTGATTTTCTTTCAATACCTGCAACTTCAGTACCTGCTGAGAGATTATTTTCTAAAGCATCGTTAGTAATTGGAAAACATAGAAATAGGTTAAGTAATGAGTCAGCCAGATGGTTACTTTGTATTAATTCTTGGTCAAAGGAATTAATATAAAGTATCAGTAATGTAAAAGTCTATTGTGCACTGTTGTATTTTATTTCTTATTTAAATAAATGGCAAATTATATAACTGTTTTATTCCATTTCATATACGGTGAAGGTCCATCAATCCCTTTATAGACAAATAATGTTCTTTAAAATACAGTCAAGTTTATGTCATTAATTTGGTTGTTTTGTTTTTTAACCATGTTTGTGCATACGTAAGATTGTTAAAAGCAAACCTTTATTAAGAAACAGATTGACTCCCGTGGGACATGGTAGATAGCTCAGTTAGTTAGAGCATAGACACGGATCGCTTAGATCGTGGGTTAAAACCCCACCCAGTGTCAGTTGTTTAGACATTTATTAATTTGGTTGGTCTTTTTATAGCTATGTTAATTCAAGCTTAAAATGTACCTACTGCGTTACGTTGTTCCAAGATCTAAAGTAACGTTTAATAAATAGCAATAGGCTAATGGGTATTTGCGAGACTTGCAAGACTCTTGCTGCAAGACCAAGACTGGGAGCGCAATACCAAGACCAAGGCCAGGTATATTGGTGCAAGACCAAGACTAAGACTGGCTAAGTCTCGTCTTGTTCTTGCATTTGTGCAACACTACTTATAGGTAAAATTTGGAGTTGGAATATGCGCTTAAAAGAGGGAGAGCACAAGCGATAGAAAATATACTTTTGACGTTTTAATGAATGAAGAATTTGACAGAAAACCACTTGAGCTGACGAAGACAACAGTAGTCACCAAAGTAACAAACGAGGAAATTGCTCAAGTACTTCTAAAAATAAAGAAAGATAAATCAGTTGGACCAGATGATATTCATATGGAAGTGTGGACAGCGTTAGGAGAGACAGAAACAAGTTAGCTAACACGGTGGCATTCATTGACATAACGGCTGTATATGACACGGTATGGAAAGATGGCCTACTTTGCTGTCCAAAATATTTCTTTGTAAACCCCCAAATACCTGGTCATCACTCTGGATAGAACACTTTTCGTTTAAGAATCATCTGGAGAATACAGCAGCAAAGTTTAGAATCTGCAACATCATACAGAAGCCCAGCGGACAACTTGGGGATAATCGGCAGCTAAACTTCGATTCTCAGTTCTTGAGACTTTTATACTCTGGCTGAATACTGTGCATCTATATGGCTGAATAGCGCTCACATAAAAATGAGTCGCCAATATGCTTTAACCAGAGAATTCCAAAAAATACTTAAAAGCTCACAATTACTAATATACAGAGACATCGCTGACGCCAACTCATATCGCTTGCAAAAAACCACCAACTAGGGATACAATAAACCCGAGGTCCACCAATTTCCAAATGCATACCCCGTGGAAGAACATGCAGAGGAACAGACCCAACCCAATAATTTCTGCAGAATACGGCTGTTGTGCTGAGAGAAAAGCATCCAGCACCTGATTGAAGAATGCTCTTTGAGGAAGCATTATAGAGATAGGCTGGATTTTGCTTTCGCACCACCAGCGTAAATAATTAAATGATGTAGCCATATGCTAAATAAAATAGAATAACAATTCAGTAGGTCAAACGTTACAGGTTTCACAGGCGTGTTTCATAATAGTTAACCAGAAAGAATATAGGATAACCCATCAAGTTACATAACTAGGGTCTTCAGTGTTTCTTTTTGTTATTGCTGATTATCATTTTTAAATAGATTTACATTTAAAATCAAAGGGTTCAGTAGGCGTCACTGTAGACTAGCGCGAAGCTTTATATTAATCAACAAAATTGCTGTTTTTATTATTCTCTTTACAATGTCGTAATTCAATTAAAGTTCTATTCAGCAGCAGTTTTTGTAGGTGTATCTTTTTTAACAGTTTTTCATGCTGTATCGCATTTGTTAGTAAGATCTTTTTTACGTTTTCTGTACAAAAATTTATGAAACATTTCAAAAATCAAAATAACAAATTACGGTCAGTTTTGTCATTTTTTGTACCTAACGGCCACCCCTTCATTAGAGACACAAACCTAGTTAGGTACACAAATGGACTCTTCCGTGTGACTGTAAAATATGAAAGTGTTTTAACAATAACTTTTTTTATAGCATAGTCGAAGTGATAATTTCAAAAATCCAACATTGTATTTATATGAAATTATGAAAATATAAATAAATACCATTTGATAGTAAATTAAATTATTATATAAACTAAATAAGATGTTTAAAAATAACAAGTTATATTATAAAATATTTTTAAAATTTAAATAATATATTTACAATTAAATAAAGTAATTTTATTATTTATTTATTTTTTATATTTTAAACAAATTCAATAAAAAAAGGAGGTTAATCTTTGTAAAAAGAGGTTAATCTTTTTAAATAAATATACCCATTTACAAAGATTAACCTCTTTTTGTTATACGTGGTATACAGCCAGCTACAGGAATTTTTCCTTGTAAATTCAATAAATTATTATGTTTGCTCCTTTGCTCCACATGTTAACGTATTAACAAATTATACGTTATTTACTTACACGACAAACCTGTCAAATACAGACGAAATATTAATAATAAAATATAAATAAATATTATTTGTAAGTATAATATTGTATATATAAATCGTAACGGATGTAATGATACTGAATAATGTCAGTAAATTTTACTTATTTTTTAGTAAATAAGGGCTACCACCATTTCTTTCCTGTTACTAGAATTCTATAGTAAGCAATGCCGATATTTCTGGTAATCTATTTTCACGAATAATAACTGTAGCGTAGAATCATTTTTCTTTTACTAATTTAGAAAGTTTTAAGTTGAGGAAAAATTGATCAAAAAGATTCGGTGGTGATTATGTATGATTTGGAATTCATTTCAATAAATTGATAAAAACTTTAACTTCCATGTCAAATTCAAGTTTGGCAATATAATTAACTCCAACATATGGCATAAACTGGTATAGATATTCATCAGAATCATACAAACACCATAGTTTAAAGATAAAATGAACAGCTTTGCCGAATGTCTATCAAAATATGGAACCATTTCTTCGTCAGTGGATAACTTATGGGAGAATATTCTAAACTTCTAATCCTCTTCTCTATATCATAAAAAGATAATTTGGAGAATTTATCAGCTTTATCTAGTGATTTGTTGCTCGATAAAAATATGTATTTTTTTGATTTTTTTAAACGTATTTCGGCTCCGCATTCCGCACACAACTCCCAAACAGACTAGATTACCTTAATCTTTGTACATATCAATATAAGGCAATGTTTGAGAACCGGATAATGTAAGAATGACAATAAATTTTATCAGTGATGATATCGTCAATTTGAAATCATGAGTATACAACAAAAAATTCGGCAGTGCCTCAGCTGGTTTAATCACAATGATATAGAGATATAGAAACCATTATAAATATTCATACTCATACAAAGAAGCAAAAAAATTGCAACAAGATGAAATAAAATAAACAAGTTGATGGGAATGTATGTGATTGTTAATAATAAAAGTGTTAATATAACTGTATTAATTTTCAATTATTTTTTAGGTGGTCAGTATCACTAGTAGTCGCTCTCGCCACAGCTGTAGCGATATTGGATGTATTTTTCATCCTAGTCGCAGTTCCAGAAAGTTTACCAGAAAAAGTCCGTGTATCACCTATCAGTTGGGAACAGGCTGATCCTTTTGCATCACTTAGAAACGTTGGACAGGATCCCACCATTCTACTGCTATGTATTGCCGTGTTCTTGTCATATTTGCCTGAGGCAGGACAATACAGTTGTATTTTTATGTATCTCAAATTAGTGATGGGTTGGAGTGATCCCATGGTAGCTGTTTTCGTTGGGTTAGTGGGCCTGATGGCTGTCATAGCTCAACTTTGTTTAGGTAAGTTGAATTACTGTTATTTTAACAAATTTAGATTACATTGTTATAAGATTACATTGACGTAACTCAATTGTATCGATGTTTAATTAAAGAAGTACCGCTTAAATATTAGTAAGAATGGTAAAATTGGTAAATGGTAAAAGTTGGTGTGGTGAAGTTTTATATTAAAAATTTTCTTTGTTTCTGTTTAACCCGCAATATTATATTATTGTTGAGATATTTAATAATAAACTCGGTTGTGTTTTCTTCTTCTTTCTCTAAGCAGTTTAGCAGTCAACAAGTCTGTATAGATCTATCAGCTATGCGTGTGACCTTCGAGAATGAGAATGAATTTATTATATGTTAAAATACTAATTTATAGTACTCTCCTTGTATTATTCAAGCATAATTTATATCCCTTTCATGTATATAGTGACAAAGCTATAACTTCTTTCCAGTTTTAGTCATTTTTTTTTTTTTCATTAAAACTATTTTACTATTAAAGCTAAAATAAATATTTTGGTGTAGGGGCCGTAGCTCGGCCGTAAGATACTGGCATATCAAAAATTTTAATTTTCAAAAATTGTATGGGCCACCACCGTGCTTCGGAATGCATGTAAAGCCGTCGGTCCCGGCCACATAAGTGATCGTTAAGAAATTTTGGAGGCGCTTGTGCAACTGAAAACACTAACACCAGACCTGAGCCAGAAGGTCGCGTGACCTTTACTTTTTTTAGTGTGCGAAACAATTTTTAATACTTCTTCTTCTTCTTCAGCCTTAAGTAATCCAACTTTGGACATAGGCCTCCCCCAAATCAATAAAGTGTCTTCTATTTTGCACCACTTGCTTCCAGCTGTGTCCTCCGATCTTCTTAATGTCATCAGCCCATCTCATTTGTGGTCTTCCTCTGCTTCTCTTTCCTAACCATGGCATTCACTGTTGTATTTCGTGGTTCCATCTCTTATCCTTCAGTCAGGCATTGTTTCCTGCAAAGCTCCATTTTAATTTGGCAGCATGTTCTCCTGCGTCTTTTACTTTGGTTTTCTTCTAATCCATTTGTTTGTTTTTTTGTCTATAAGTCTCACACCGAGAATTGATCTTTCCGTCACTCTTTGTGCCTTTACTATTTTATCCATATTAGATTTGGTGAGTGTCCACGTCTGTGAGCCATACGTGAGTATAGAAAGGATACACTGATTGTAAATTCTGATTTTCAAATACTATTGTAATCCTGTCCACGCTAACCTTATTCTTCTGGTAATTTCGGCAGTTTGATTTTTTTTGTTAATTTTCATTATCTGTCCCAGGTAGATGTATTCGCTTACTGCTTCAAAATGTATGTTATTCAACGTTATTTCTGTAATATTCGGTGTATGTATCATTATTTTTGTTTTTGACAAGTTCATATTAAGACCTACTTTTTCAGAAGCTTAAAATAGTTGCGTCATCATGGTCTGTAGTTCTTCGAAACTTGTAGCGAATATTACAATGTCATACGCGTATCCTAAATGACTCAGTTTTCTTCCTACTCCCTTATCCCCTTTTCATAACTTTGGTTTTCGCATCAATTTGTATTTTCATTGTAGCTTTCTTGTAAATATTGTGTATGAGCATTCTGTATCAGGAGTTTATCCTGCAGTTGTTCATAGCTCTCTCTATTGCCCAAAGTTCTATGGAGTCGAATGCCTTTCCATAATCAACGAAGTCAATATATAAGTTCAAGTGATATTCATTGGCTTTCTCTATTAGAGTTCTGACTGTAAGAAGGTGATCCGCTGTACTGTAACCTTTTCAGAATCCTGTCTGCTCTACCGGTTGATAGCTATCCAGCTTCGACGATAACCTATTAGTTATTACTCTCATAAACAATTTGTACATTTGAGACAGCAGGGAGATTGGCCTATAGTTCTTGAGATCTCCCCTGTCTCCCTTTTGAAGAGAAGTATTGTCAAACTTTCATTCCAATCATCTGGGACTTCTCCTCTGTGAAGACATTCGTTGAAAAGTTTTTTAAATTTTTTATTGAGTATTTGTGAGTTGTCATTCGTTATCTTTCTCTTAAGGTCTTCCTTTGGAGTGTTATCTGGCTTCTTGTTTGAGGAATATAAATCACGGTAAAATGTCTGAGTAACTTTTAGGATTTCGTTTTTTTTTCTCTTATTTCTTTTCCATCTTCATCTTTCAATGCGATTATTATAGGCTTTCCTTTCCTTCTAATATAATATACTAATACTAACTAATGGTTTATTACTGTTGATTGTCTACCAAACTTCCAGATAGACTGAGTAGTGATTCTAAGAAGTGACTTGCTAAATATATTTTTTTACTTTTTTTGTTTATTTTTCTTTACAAAATTTCAACCTTATGTTATCATAATTTATGGCTTTCTCTACTCAAATGTTTGTTATATGTTAATTTGTTTTTACCGTTGACATAGCTTTGTTTTCCATTATCCATTTTTTTAAACTTTTAACTATTAATATTCTTTATGCTGTAGTTTCTATTTTCTTATTCCCTGTTTTTAAAAAAAATTAATATTGTTTCTCTATTCTATCTCTAATGTTATTTCTATTAGTACAATTTTTACATATTTTTACTTTTTCAGGTATTTTAATAAAAAATCTTGGTTCAAAGCATACCATCATGTTGGGACTTCTATTTGAAATGCTCCAACTGTTGTGGTATGGTTTTGGTACCACGACGTGGATGATGTGGGGTGCCGGTATATTAGCTTCAATGAGTTCCATTACTTATCCTGCCATTTCCGCATTTGTATCAGTTCTTAGTACTCCCGATCGCCAGGGAGTTGTTCAAGGTAAGGTATAACTTGATTCGACCATCAAGATTATTTGTAGGATTTTTTGTGTACTTTTTATAAATATTTTTTGCAGTTACCTGTACACTCGTTGTAAATATAAATGATCCCTGATAATAACGATTTCTGTTTGCTTCTGATTTCTAGAATGGAAACCATCCATCCAATACCATTTATACACCACCCAATCCTTCTACTTTCGGATGGTAAAGGGTGGATGGTATATCCGTATTGTTGGATGGATGATATAGATGATCCATCATAAATAAAACAAAAACAAACAATATACAATACCCCACAATTTTTATTCGCGAAACGTTTATGGGATAGAGGAAATTGATTGAACTTAAGATTCAAACTATCCGTTCACCCAGAAAAAGTATGGTACTTGCTTCTCCAATTATATGGATGGAGTGGGTGGATGGTTGGACATATCTAAACAACCATCGAACTTGCCACCCTGTACAAACATATTGTACAATTGACAGAAAGGTTTAAAAAAAGCCGCGTGCAAATGGATTTAATAAGTTTTTGTATCGAATAACCTAAATATTATCTTAATAGTTTATTTTAACTATGCATAATAATAAATACCGTATACATTATGTATAATAAAATTAACTGTTGTGGTGGAAAAAATTTAATATATCAATAGATTAAATCAGACATTAAGTCGTCAAAATGCTAAAGTTTTGTTAATAAAGCTATATTCTTACAATTTTTTTTATATTATGCAAAATCCATACGAAAAACATTTATGTATATTAACTTTCATATATACACGCCTAAAAATTTTCTAAATCATTTGTAGGTATGGTTACTGGTATGAGGGGTCTTTGCAATGGTTTGGGCCCTGCTATGTTTGGAGTAGTATTTTATATGTTCCATGTTGATCTGAATGGAAATAATAATAACAACGCAGATGCTACGCATTCTACTTCATCATTTGAAACATATTCTCAGGTAATTCAATATTTAAAAAGTATTTTTATTTACTGATGTTTTAGTAGATATATTTTGTGACTAAATTAGAAGTTGTTTATATCTCAAAATTGTGAACAAATTCAAACCATAAATGTTAACAATAATTGGACTTTTGGGTGTCCTTGCGTAACGCTAGGCGCACACATGTCGAATTTGGACGGTCGATATAAGTTCGGGTCAATGCAGTGGGTGTTCGAACACCTTGTCACCTTATAGACGGCTTCTGTGATAGTTGCCGTACTTCCAAGGCGAACGGTACCAAATGAAAGCGCGCACACACATCAATTTTTATCGACCGACCAGAGGACCAGTTGCGTTTTTTGGACACTGCTGAAGATACGTCTCCTCGTGTTGCTACTTAGTTCTATGTTGTTTGATGTGATTTTGTGTACTCAACCTAACAAACCTTTGTGGATTGACAAACGTCATTCACCTTCCTTGGACCACCAACCGCTCCATTTTATAATCACTTCGATGGATATGACCAAAGAAGTTTAAAATTCCAGAGTAAATAGCACTAGAGAGACTCTGATTTGGTTTAATTTCATCTAGAACCCAGATGTTCGTACGGCGAGCTGTCCATGGAATTCAAAGCAGTCGTCTCCTTGTCCATATTTCAAAAGCGTCTATGCGTCGTTTATCTGACTTTTTAACTGTCCATGTCTCGCATGCAAAATAAAATATGGAAAAGACCAGAGTTAAAACGAGTCTCTTCTTGTTTGTCATAGTAATGTGACGATAACGCCAGATCCCGTTTAGTTCAGTCATTACTGCTCTCACAAGTTGAATGCGTCTTCGAATTTCGGGTTCACTGCCTATGTTAGTAACTAGAACTCCATGATATATTATAAAGTAGACTACCTCTCATCTCGAAATAGTTCGGTTTTCAGGAAACTGTTTTCAACGATCAATATCCATGATTTTGGTTTTGTTGTAGTTAACTTTGATTCCAAATTTAGCACTTTCTAAAGCTAAGCACTTATTTTTTTAGCACTTTCGAAGCCACGATTTTTCTTCTTATATTCCTTTTGGTTGAGACCATATTAACTCAAATGGGTTTCGAATACAAGAATAGGAATACAGGAGTTAGTCTAAGCACGGTATGTCCATTATTGCAAGCACAGTTCTCAACATCTTCTTTTTGATATTGTTTACTATGATCATGAGCAGCTTGCAACAACTGCTTTTTTAATATAAACCTGAAAATGCATATCTTCAAAACCTGAAAAGGCAAATCTTCAAACAGAAAGTTTTGAATTTGTGATCTTTTGCAACATTAGTATTTGTAATTTTCAGTGAGTAAGCGAGAACACTCTCCATGATAATTATTATGGTATTGGCTATTAGACCGGTTTGGGAAAAGAAATATTTCAAATTAACTTTTTTGGCTGATATAAATAATGCATCGTGAATCCATCCATTGTCTCCATCACAACGTAAAATAATAATCTGTCATTTATGCGAAGGTATTGCAGTTGAACATTTTTTTTATTATTTTCTCAGCTCTTTTTCACGGTGTTACCATTTTCTACACTCTGTAATACTTTCTTTATAATCGTTTCTTAAAGAAATTATTATATTGCTTTCCATGAGTGCCTGGCGCTGATCTATAGTCCTATACTTAAACTATTTGCTTTGATATGCTTTAAAAAATATTCGAAGTATTGTTGCTGAACAAGAAAGAATAATGTGTTTTCGAACCAATTCACTTCACAGGTTTTGAATAGTGGGAAAACATTTGTTGCATATATTTCGTATACTTATCTTCTCACAGGTTCAATAAGATGGCATTCCCACCTAAAACGTTATAACATCAAATCTAATGAAAAGTCTTACATGTTCAGTTCCTTCACCTTCTAACGCTGTATATGTAATACTAACTTCAGTAATATAAAAGGCGTTAGAAATTTTAAAAACTAATATGATCTGCCTTTATTTGCTCTAGCAATTCTTTCTATAAACTAAGAACGCTAACGTCACCTGTTGTTTTGTATGCATGTTTGCCATAATAATTTTTTGCTAAACCCCAAACCAACCCAATTGCATTGTACTGGCAATGGTAGGGCAGAATTCAGAGAACTTCGTGGCCATATTTAAGAGCCAGTTGGTCGATGAGAAATTTCTTTTGAATTTGGTAGGCTTCACATCTTTTCAACAAATCGACTTTTAAAAATTTGTCAGTGTGATTAACTTTTTTCTGTTAACCACGCCTTTAGTTCTTTTTTTGGCCAGCTGCCTGAAGGAAATTTCTTTTCTACTTTTGAGTGATAGGATGCGTTATGTAGCAATATTATAGATGATCGCGTCACTCTAATTTTTTAATACATTTTCTTCAAATCATTCTTTAAAAATATTTGCATCCATATTTCCGTGATAATCACCTGTATTCCTTGTGGGCGAAAAAATTAAAGTGACGTCGGAAATAAAGCCCTTATCTTTTTGGGTATGCAGTATGATGTATATTTTACCATTTCTGGAACTGCTAGAGGAATAGTATTTGGTGGTGGTGCCATCTTGCCAGGATGATTTTGTTAAATTTCCTTTAGCGAAAATTCAACTTTCATCTAAGAATTAAAAATTTTTGTTACTTGTTCTTTAGCTGTAAGTATATGTACATATCAGGTATAATTTTTTAAATTTCAAACTTAATTGACTGGGGCAAATCTAAAGTTTTTGGATACCGATAATTTCTTTTGCTTACTTTATTTATTTCTTCCTCACTCATGCTGTTAATTCTTCGGAATGTCCTCTCTAAGATACCGTAAGTGTCACATGTGCATTTCTGAAACTCCCATACAGATCAGTCAATGTTATTTTTTTCCAAATCTTAATAACTTTCCTTTTTCAGAACTAAACACATTTTCTGTGTTTAGACTGTTTTTCATTTGTTCCAAATTGCTCTAAGTAATATTTAAGCTCCGCTCTGAATACAAGTACACCCTGAAAAGAACGGGGGGGGGGTGTAGTACAACAGAGTCGTTCGTACATTCACAAATTTCTAATGAACCATTATAATTTAGGTGTAATGCATTTTAAATTTGTTTATTTATGTAAAACTAATCGCTTATACCTACCCAAAGAGGTATATTTCTAAATAATCAAGTTTTATTTATATAAAGCTTTCATGCCTGTAGAAACGAGATTGTTCCATCATGTGACATTGAAGTCCGTTTTAAGAAATCTTTTTTTCTAATAAATGTTCTTGAAAAGGCACATTTTTGATTATTTCGTAAACCTGCATTATACGTCACAAAGAAATTAAACAACATGTTTGTTAATAAATCCACTGTGTAAATACGATATATTCTGTACTATTCCAATAAAATATTAAAATGAAAATTTTTAAAAGATATATCCGCTTACCTGGTCCACTAGTAATAAAGTTATCAGACTTCAATCCCAAAACGGCCATGGTACATATATGGTTTTGGCAAGCTAGGATTGTCAAATATTCAAAAACGGATGGGTGTTATAATTTAGTGATTATGATTCATTTAAAAACATTTTATAAATTAGGGAAGTTAATAATTTCTTATATTTTCAGCTTGTGCCTGGTCCACCTTTCGTCTTCGGAGCTTTCCTAGTCATATGCGCCCTTTTCGTAGCTTCATTCATTACTAGTAAATCTCATGTTGATTCTGGTAAGTAAATTGAGAAAATTAAATTGATTATCCAAATCTAGTTAATATAATTTTGGTTGTCTAAAGAAAATACAGAAACGTGTTATTTTTAGTCTATTGTAGTGTTCGAAGGATAATTCGATGATAACTATATGCAGCAAGTTTTTTTGACAGAAAACATATTGTTCACCTACTCACTCATACTTATTCTAACGATATTCAAAAGATTCTCCAAATTACCAATGCCTTTATAGTAGATCAATAAATATAAGTCCTCCAAATAGCTATATATAGCAGCGACAACCTCGAAATTAGACGAAAATATCTTAACCCATAGCAATATTTCAAGTTTCTTAAATGCTCGGAACCATATCTGGGAAAAAGAGCAAAAGGTACGGCTTACGGATAGTTGTGTTATCCTGAGGGAAAAATACTCCCTTGTGTGTAACTTTTGTGTGCCCACTAAAAAGTTCTTCAGATATAGATATTATAAACCTTACTAAGTTTGATATTTGTAATAAATATCAATATTGTTTTTTTATTAATTACGAAGTTACAACACTTTAAAATTCAGTCAGAAATTAACTTTAGTGTAGAACTTAATTTTAATTTACCTAATAATCTACCATCTTGTTGGATACAGTTTTCGTATGACGATTATTTATTCCGATTACTTGTTTTAGTTGAGGTAGTTGAATTCTTGTACAAAGTTTGTCTTTGATATGATTGATAGATAAGATAAAAAACAATTGTTCAAAATGTATAATTTTTTAGCATTCTAGACGGTAATAATACTTTAAGTTGTTATAACTTCATTAATAAATATATTTTTATGAAATTTTGTTCATAAGTATTAAGGGGCCGCTGTGAATCATGTGGCGTAGCCATTTTTTAATAAAGAAAATAATAGTAATTACGAATAATACAAATTATTTTTAACTAAGAGAAAGTATGGTAGTAGTTCCTGAAAACACGAATGATCATTTAAAAATTTTGTCCCGAAGTATATCTGTTATTGCTCGACTTTAAAAAATCGTTTAAACCGGTTAGCGGAATCAAATATCCCTACATCACGTAATACTGTAGTGTCACTGTTTTTTTTTTCAAAAACCTCTGGATTTTTAACTTAATTTGGAAATTTAACAATTTTTAATAATTATGTTTTTTTTTAATATAGGTATCCCACTGGATACACACTATGAAATCGAACGTGGTCAAAAAGTTGCTGGTACCCTCAGTCCGCTTATACCCAGCAGGAGCATAGACGCAGCAATATTGTAAATGTTAGGATGTGTATACCTTAGAAACAGAAATAAAATGACAATTTAAGAAGGAAACACACTTATCTAAAACGGCAGGGACCTCAGATCGACATATATTTTGAATAATTGTAAATAAGCATGTGCGGGTGATAAACAAAGGTCTCTGAAATGTTTTAGATAAGTGTAACCTCATTTGTTAATACATGGTTGTTGACAAAGTATTTTATTTTTTGATGTTCTTGGGTATTTTTTTCACTTTTTCTTATATCTACATTATAAGCTTAATTTATTTTTATTATATTTACTACTGCTTCAAAAGTTATTGATTTAAACATCATTATTTGTGAACAGAACTTGTTTCTAAAAATATAGAATAATTTTTAAAGCTTTGTATATTTTTGCTATCGTTACTATATTAAAATACGTAAAACCAATCTTTGTATGACCTGCAATAGTAGATAAATATCCGATGATACGTAAAAGTAATCGTTATCGATAAATTTTACACATCGAAGATTTAAAAACCAAGTATCACATTAGAGACTAGAGTGTTAAGTAGGAAGAAAACAATTGAGTCAGAACATAGAAGACTGTTAATATAAATCTTTTGTAAACAATATGTTGCAAAACAGGCATAAAAATGAAAATATCTCGATTTTTTTTTACTTTATAACAAATTTTATTTGCATGTATATATTTAGTTATTGAATAAATAATATCACAATAAATATTGTATCTATACTATTTTTTATTTGAATAAAAGATACTAAATGTCACTGCCAGTATCTGTATATCAAATATGTTTATTTAACTGTGTTTCAAATAAAATGCGTGTGTTAAGCAAGCAAGAAGATCTTTGGTATCTTAATTATGTATAAATTATGTTTGGATCATCTAATATCGTAATCCTCTAGAATCTGTAGTTGAGGGGCAACTAGAACACGAACTAAAAGAATCCGCACCGCTTTTCACCCGTTTTCTCGTTTGCCTAAAAATAGATTTCATGATTGGGATACTTAGTTTCTCTGGATTTAGAAGTTAGGAAGTAAAGGGATAATAATCATGTTTCACAATAGAACCAACAACAGAGGGCAGGGACATCTATATCTAGGTGGTAAAAATGAAAAGGTTATAGGGATTGAATGTAAGTTACAAAAACATCATCATTAATAAATATTTCCGAATTATTTTCTTTAGAGATTGATTGTAACTAAGAACCTCATCATCCACAACTAAAAACATAAAAAATGACTAAGGAACGCAAAGTTTTTTTCTCGTATATACGTCAATGTTTATAAAATTTTAAAAAGTGACATACCGTTATAGTTTTTGATTAGTCATTCATGGCATTCTTAAAATTAAATTATGGGCTCCATTTTTGTGTAGGATCTTGTAGACTTTGTCTAGTATGAACATTGTGCAGATGAGCAAGCATTTTCCATACATGCTAAATGGGATTAAGATCGGGCTATTGTGCTGGCCGAGGTAAAAGTGTAATATTCTCAATATGAAACCAATCTCTTATTGTTGCTGCAATATGTGGCCTTACATCATCCTGCATGTAACGCAAATCAGAGCCAGCAGCAGGTTCAAAATGGAAGGACAACGGTCTCAATCGAAGATATACGATCAATATATTGATATACCCGGTTCGCTATTCCCAGTCCGAACTGTCTAGTGATTTTAGTAATTATTTTTTTTTCGAAGTTAGTAACTTTTTGACAGACTCAAAGTGGCTGGAAAATACTATACAACCAAGCATACGTGCTCTTAGTCAATATTAATGTAAACAAAAGTAAATAAAATAGAACTTTGCCGACAATCAATATTTATTTATTTACACCGTATAATGTATTGATAACAAATAATAAAATTATTTATTGTACAAAATAAAAAAGTCGGAATAAATTCTACAAAATTAAGAAGTCAAAGTGAGGTTAAATAAGAATAAGACACAGCAAGTTCCTTATGTATTTACAACATTTACATAATTCGATAAATACATTTTAATGATCAACTTACCTCAACAGGTTTTCATTCGGTAAAAAAAATGGTAGGCATTTTGAATAAACCTTTGTGCAGTTTTATTACCTTGTAATCTAGGAACAGCATCCCTACTAATCTAAAAATATTAACTTTAAAAAAAAAAACTTTTTAAAAAACATTTTATCATATTTATTAAGAAAAACTTACCAACGCATTAGCTGATGGAACAAATGGAAAACTTTGACTATCCATAATAATAAAATTTAAAATATAACTAACTAATTAACTGAATAGAACTAACAAAAGAATTAAACAAAGATAATAAAACAATATTAAATTAAAAAAACAACGCGAATAATACAAATATTTACTACAATAATTTAAATTGTAACAATTCAAATATTATATTTTAAATATACAGGGAACATTTGATGGGTTTAGTATACACTTCCACTATTTAGAATAATTCTTCTTTTTTTCAAAGAAAGAGGTCTGCAATAGTAGTATACTTGAGTTATTTATACTGAGAAGTAGGAATTGTTGTGTTGTAGGTTTCCTACAATGAGTCTGTCAAAATATGCCCTAGCTAAGCGAATAGACAATATTGATTCGGAGTGGTCTGTCAAACGGAATACGGAGGCGTGTTATAACTTTGAACTGCAGAATATCTACAAGCATAAGTTAAGAGGAAAAGATATTACCGCTGTGATCAAGCGAAATCGTCTGCAGTGGGCAAGACATGTAACCCGGGTTCCGGAATGGAACGTGATAAAAATGATTTTAACAGCGCAACCGGTGGGAAACAAGACTGGGAGACCAAAGTTGAGGTGGATAGACGGGGCAACACAGGCTGATTAGAAGATCGGTGTTGCCAACTGAAAAATCCAAAGAAGGGACAGAGCAGAATGGCACAGAAAACTTGAGGTCAACTGTAGCAGCAGGATGATGATGAATTGTACGAATTTGAGACGCTGTCACTTTTGCCTTGAAACAATTCAATTCACAGATTAACTTTCATGGCATACCTTGATTTGTAGAGAACAAGTTTTCAAATCGAATGGTATATATTTACAAAAAAATGTTGTAAGTTTTTATTAAAAGAAGTGAAATAATCCTTCCTTTTGAACCAGAGGCATCTACACAGAACAGCATGCGGAAGAATTTACAATTAGTAGCCCAAAAAATGATTGGGAAGTAGTTGTGAATGATTATGTTTTTAACTTACAATCTATCTGTACAGAAAATTATTAAAATAGTTGTCATTGAAGATGTTTTTAACTTAAAAACAATATCTACTTAGCATTAATCTTGACAGAAAATAATTCGGAAGTTGTTGTAAATGATTAATGTTTATAATTTACAATCAAACTTCGCAGAAACGAATGCAAAAGTAGTTGTCATTGATGATGATTCTAATTTAAATTAATTTTTGCAGAACACTAACTTCTAGTTGGAGAGGAACTACTCCAGTCAAGAAATCGGAAAGTCTATTTTTAGACGATTCAAATAAGGCAAAAGTGGGGCTAGATTTTTCTCTTTTGCGTTCTAATTATAACTCAAATCCAGTTTTTAGAGAAACTCCTCCACTTATGGAACCGACAAAATGCGGCAAGAATCAAAACAAGCGTTGTAGATTATTCTCGATCTGATTCTAATTACAGCTCATATAAGACTTTATAGACACTACTACGATCATGAAGCCATATTTCCATGACCCAATAAATAACGAATCAGACGGAATAGATTATTGTCATTAGTATCCTACTCCTAGTAATAATAAATACTATATTCCATGTGTTTTGTCGTCCTAAAAGGTTGTGGCGTTCAAATATAAAATCAAGCAACTTATTTAAGCAAAAAGTTCACCAAAAGATCACCAAAGTTCTGCTTCAGACGCAAATCCATACTCTAGAAAAGGTAAGCACTTATCAGAACAGAACAATCAGTTACTATTCCATTTGAGGTTGATAATGATAACAAAAGACAAAAACGGCAAATTAATGAGTGACATGAACATTTGATAATTTCTTCTATGACAATCCGCAAGTTTTTTCTGAACCGGGAGAACCTGCGGAGGCATCTAAAATTTAGTAGTCCAGAACTTACAAATAATCTCTACACAAAATGATGGGAAATAGTTGTCGTTGATAATGATTTTTTACTTACAAGCAATCGCCGTTTCATTTTTGCCACCTCGTTATGGATTTCTCTAGCCTTTGTTCATTGTTATTATTGTAAACACAAGTGATAAATTGAAATAGGCAACATATACGAGGGCTGATCCTTTTCGCATTCTTGATCCACTTAGCAATAAAAAAGTAGAAAATATTTCACTTTTATTTTTTAGCGTAGCTTTCATTAAGTTCAACAATTTTCTTCCATATATGTTTTAACATTTGTACTAATTCGACAGAAAAAAATTCGAAAGAAAGTTTATTCGACGATTATCTGGAGAAAACAGTTTACCACTCAAATGGTAAGTTTTAGCAAATGTAGCTCATCTCGGAATAATGCTTTTCTTTAGTCATTAACAGATATTCTTTTACATAATCGTATCATTTCTTCATCCTAGCAGCAATCAATAACTGTTACTTTACTGTTTAAGTAATCCACTGTACGTTTTCGTACAGTGGATTCCCGATCAACAATACCAACGTATGCTAAGTCTTGCGAAGTGCTTGACTTGATGACCGATTGTTTAATTTACTTCTCTTTATTAAAAAAGTTTCATCCCTTGCTGTTTATCTCTTCCTTCAATTTTCGGCTCACCTGACTCGTCCCAGTACCTTTTGCTTCAAAATGCTTATTTTTCTACTAAACCACCTATACCAACTCGTTTCTACTTGTCTATAGGTCATTATTCACTGACTGTCACAAGTGTCACAAATTTTTTGGTATATCACATCCAGCAATAAATTTACGACATACTCTCCCCATAAACATTGTGCTTGGCACCGTTTTTCTATATTAGTTATATTTATTCTGTTTAAGATTGGTTGTATGTCTAATAATTATTGCTAACTAGTAAAAAGCCAACAATTTAAAAAAAGTGTATAAGCGGGATCTGCAAGATATTAGTTACATAACATATACAGGGTCAAATTAGCGCGTCAATATAAGGTTACATATTTCTTGGTATATTAACGTGTAATAAAAAAGTCATTATTTACCAATGATATTTATTTTTAATGATTTCCTATTTTTACATATTTGTTTATATTGTAATTCAGTTTTAATATAATGATATCTCTTTATCTTTAAACCCAATAAAAACCTCCACCTATTGCGGAGGGCATAGTAGGACACTGTGTTGCGCTTTTTTTGACCAAGATCCCTTCACTCCTTTATTGTTCAAAATCGCATTTACTATTATACATGCTCTTTACTTTCTTCCACTTCTTCCCCTCCCTCCTCAAGCTGGAACAGAAGTGGATATGTTCCGTATACAATTGAACTAATAACTCACCTTCGTTTATTGACGATCTAGCAACATCTTAATGTTACATACAGTACCCAGTTTGAAGACGTGTTTTTGGATCTTAAAAGCTCTTATTCATACCTGTATTCCATACAAACTTATGTAGTGCACCATTGGTACAGGATACGCTAAAATGAAATAAATGACAGTGTTCCTTATTTAAAAAATCGTAAGTTATATCCATTGTTAGCTCTCATAATAGAGCCAATGTATATCCTACCATATTAATATAGGATATACAGTGAAACTTTTTGTTGTATCATTCAACTGAAAAAGTTCCCATTAAATCCTTTAATCTAGTAGATTACTGTCAATTATAGGATCCTAGAATGTGGTCCTCTATTAATCCATCGTCTTTCTACATTATGTTATTTTAATGTAA